CCCTGCCTGTTTTTTTTCTGCCTCTCATCCCTCTGTTCTTGTTGTTTTCCTATGCAAACTTAAATTTTGGAGAGATTCCCAGCTATATTATTTCTCCTGCCCCCCCTCTTTTTTGTTTTTGGGTCACACCCACTAGAAGCCCCTTCAGCTCATGGCTCAGGATTGCTTCTGGCAGTTCTGGGGAACCACATGGTCCCTGGCAGCTTTCACCCTACTTGAGAGAGCAAAAACTTTTTGCAGGGGTAGGGGGGTGTTGTTTTGTTGGTTTGGTTTTTGGGCCACATCCAGCAGTGCTCAGGGCTTACTCCTGGCTCTGCACTCAGGAATTATTCCTGGCAGGCTCAGGGACCATATGGGATGCCCGGGATAGAACCTGGATCAGCCTGGTACAAGGCAAAACGCCTACCTGCTATATTGTTGCTCTAGCCCTAAGAGAAAGTGAAAACATTTGAAACTGTATTCATTACAGTTGAAAACTTTCAGTCATTGGGGAAGTTATTAGTGCTGTGGCTGGTTAACATTTCCTGCATTGGGTGGTCATTTCACTCTTTCTGGACACTTTGAGAACAATTTCATTTCCCTGTTAAAAATTATTGGGGGTGGGGGATTGTTGGGACCTCTATTATAAAAATTACAGACTCTTGTGCTGGAGCGATAGCACAGCGGGTAGGGCGTTCGCCTTACAAGCGGCCCACATGGCCGACCCGAGTTCGATTCCTCCGCCCCTCTCGGAGAGCCCGGCAAGCTACCGAGAGTATTCGATATGCCAGACACAGTAACAACAAAGTCTCCAATGGAGACGTTACTGGGCCCGCTCGAGCAAATCGACGATCAACGGGAGGGCCTTTACCTTTACCTTTACCAGACTCTTGTACATGACTTTTTTCTTTTTTTTGGGTCACACCTGCCTATGCACAGGGGTTACTCCTGGTGCTACACTCAGGAATTACTCCTGGTGGTGCTCAGGGGACCATATGGGATGCTGGGAATCAAACCCGGGTCGGCCATGTGCAAGGCAAACGCTGTACCCACTGGGCTATCACTCCAGCCCCTTGTACATGACATTTTGATCCTAAGGTTCTTTTTTCCCCCTGAAGTTAATGTTCTTAAAAAAAAAATATTGGGACCGAGCGATAGTCCAGTGGGGAGAGCATTTGCCTTGCATGCGGCTGAACCGGGTTCAATCTCCAGCATCCCACATGGTCCCCCAAACCGGGTGTGATCCAAAAAACAACAACAAATAAAATTTAAAAAAAAATACTGAGGTGGGGGGAGTGCTTGCAGGGACAAGATTCAGCAGTGCTCAGGGGTCACTCGTGGTGAGCTTAGGGAATCATCTGTGTGCTGGGGATTGAACCCAGCTCATCCTCATGCAAGGTGGGGCCTTCCCCGCCGTGCCCTGGCTCCAACCCCATGTTACTATTTTTCATTTGTTTGCTGTAGGTGTTTGGGCCACACTGGGACAGTGCTCACGCCTTTCCCCGTCCCCTCCAGCCCTTGTGGACAGGCGTGCTTGTGTTTCTTGTTCTGTTTGATTTTAATTCTGCCATGAGGTGTTCAGACAAAAGGGAACCTGGAGTGGACTTTACAGTTAAGTGCTTTTCCCTCTAACTTAGTTTTCCCCTGGCAGTGAACCTCTAGGGCTGTTCCAAATGTGGTTGAGTTACTGTATCTAAAGGTGATCTTGGCGTTTCCTAATCTCTATGTTCCAGTTTGTCTGAGGCAACTGGGCACACTTTACATAAGCCCACGTTTGTGCCGAGCTGCACTTGCCGCAGGAGGGGCCCTAACGGTCTAGTGTAGGCCTGAGGTCACTCTAGCTTTAAATAGCTGCTGGCACTTAAAATCAGGACAGACTGATTTAGGGGAAAGGCCAGAACTTCTCTCGGTGGCCTGCGGTGCCCTGGCTGCTCCTTGCTTTGGAGTCCGGCGTCCGCATCTGCACGGCAGTGGGTAAGTCGAGCCCCTGCCTGTGGCAATGACTTCCCAGCCCCAGGTGGGTTGTGGGAGGACCGGACAGATCCGGATCCATCTGATTCCACATGAGGCCTAGTAGAGAAACGGTCACAGTCGGTGCTCCAAGAGCTATGCGGATCCTCTTTCCTACTGTCCCTGCAGAAACCTGACAAGGCCATCTGTGTCAATTAGTACCTAAAGCCTACACCTATCTGGGGGCGTTTCTCAGGCACTGTGAGCGGAAGTGACGTCAGCTGCCCAAAGCTCTGCGTCTGAGCACACAGAGGACACACTTGTTCCAGGAAGAGAGGCTGAGAGCGTTGGGGAAGAAATGCACAGTATGCCAGGTGGGGGGGGGGGCACGTTACATGGAGGGAAATGATCACCTGAGAGTCTCTCGTGCCACTTGATGGTGTTGAGCGCTTCCTCGTCTGATCCGCAGCTCTCACAGTCTAGCTGCCCCACAGTCATGTAGTAAATGGGGACCCTATTGCTTGAATCAGCAGCAGAAGTCAGCAGAATAGCAGTGGACCGGTCACTGCAAAACGGTGTCCTCAAGGCCTGGACCATCGAGAAGTGGGGCCCTTCTGCCCTCGGTTTCCCTGGCTTATCAAGTTCGCCAATGAGGATGAGGTCAGCCAAGAAACACTCTTCTAGGAAGTGGTGGAATGGATTATGTGGGGGTGGGTAAACAAAGAAGGATCGATTCAAGCAAAAAAGCAGATTGCACTGACCCCAGTGGCTGCTTTCTGACGAGTCTCTGGCGCTGTTTCCGTGACTCCACTCTTGCACCGGGCTCACTAGCTTCCGAGACAGGAGTGAAGCGCACTGAGTGTAGGTGGTTTTCAGGAAGATGAAGGGCTTCTGGTTCACCATCTCCTCCCCTTCCGCTACTTCTACATATTGGGGGAGGGCATCCATGCAGAGGGCTACTCAGGATTCCCTGAGGGCCCAGCCTAGGTCATGTGGCCCAGCCCTCGGGGAAACCTTTCTGAGTGACCCGAACACTTTTCGGTAATATAGTTTGATTCGGGGGTCAGTCAAACAGGAACAGGGAATTCTGGGAAAGGTGAGGGGACTTCATGGTGGGGTTCACCGGGCCGGAGCCATCATGTTGGCATTCTCCCTGAGGAACACTGGAAAAGGTTCTGGGCACGCAAGGGGGTAGCCACTGGTTAATTGAAGAATGTGAACCTCAGCAGGACCACGGAGCAAGTGGTACGTGGTCCAGTCCCCTGCTTTGGGGAGCGTCAGTCCAGTAGAGTGTTTCTGGCTTCATTGACTTTCTTGTTTGTATTTTGGGTCACGCCCAGCAGTGCTCAGGGATCACTACCTGATAGAGTATGGGGGGCCTTTTTTTTTTCTTTTTGGGTCACACCCAGCGATGCACAGGGTACTCCTGGTTCATGCACTCAGGAATCACTCCTGGCGGTGCTCAGGGGACCATATGGGATGCTGGGAATCGAGCCCCAGGTCAGGCCGCATGCAAGGCAAACACCCTACCCGCTGTGCTATCACTCCAGCCCTGGGGGACCCTTTTGGAGTGCCAGGGATCAAACCTGGTCAGCCACTTGCAAGGCAAGTGCTCTGTCTGCAGGACTGTCGCTTTAGCTCCTTGGTTGAGTTTAGTCGCCCTAAAAGTACAAACTGATGGATATCGCTTTGCTTTCCTTGAGGTGATGGAAGTAGGAACCAGTGGATACTGGACCCCAGTCATTTACAGTTTTAGAATTGGAGAAGCATGTAGCCACTTTTGCGGCCATGTGACCTCTCAGGATATTCATAATAAGCAATCGAAAATAAATTACGATTTGTCGTAATTTAGCATCTGTCCCTGGCTGGCAGGCTTGAATGGTGGTGGGAAAATTCGAAATAATGGTGGTGGGGAAGGTGTAATGGTGGTGGATTTGGTATTGAAATATTGGATGTAATCAATGTGAACAACCTCATGAAAATAAAATTAAAAAACAAAACAAAAACCTGTGGGTAGGGCCAGACTGGAAGAATCGGTTCCTACTGGCAGCTTCCATGCAGTAACACTTGGCCTCTTGATACTTTTGTATTTGCTAACTGTGCCAGTGACACCTCCCCCGCTCCGGTCGGATTCTGTCCCCTGAGCCCAGTTTGTCCTTCCTTGCCGTTTGTGAGTCGGGAAGTCTTGGGCTCCTGGAAGCTCACACGACACTCCCAGCTGGATTCAGGGGTGGAACTGAACTCTGATTTTGTTTGTGTGGATTTAGGGCTACACCCAACGAAAACCTGGGCTGACTCCTGGCTTTGCTCAGGCATCACCCAGGGGTGCTTGGGGGACCCTCTGGGTGCCGGGCACTGAGCCTGGTCAGGGCCCTACCGGCTGTCAGAGCTGCCGTTTAGCAGCCAGAGCAAGGCCAGGAAGAAGCTGCCATTCTTCTCTTTGAATACCCTAATAATCAACTTCCTGGGGTGTGAGACATCCAGAGTGCCACGTGGCATACGGAGGGGCGGGCAGGGTCTGGGCCACACCAAGTGATGTCAGGGATCATGGCAGGGGTGGCTGCGTGGAGCTCAGGTGCCTCTCCCGTCGCTGGCTCTGGGCCCAGGGTGCGCAGTTTGACCTGGGAGAGAGCTGTTGACTTTTCACGACTGAGATAGGAATGGGGTTATGGTGTGAGACCTGAACCGGGTCATTTCCTCATGGAAGAGCTACGGGTGGGCGCGTCCTGCTCCCGGCTGAGGCGGTGTTTCCAGTAGCCTCCACCCTCCTGCGGCACCAACCGTGTAGCTTCTGTCAGTTGAGGGGTTTTTGGTTGTGGGAGGTTAGACCACACCCCAGTGATGCTCAGGGCTGACCCCTGTCCCTGCACTCAGGAATCACGCCCAGCAGTGCCTGGGAGACCCTCAGGAATGACAGGGATCGAACCGGGCGGCGCGCTGCAATCTTTCCAGCCTGCCTCTGTCACTTGCCGAGACGGGCTTGGGTTTTACTGAGAGCACCTAGTCCCGAGTCGCTCAAGGGTGGCGCCTGCCGTAACAGCGCTCTCTCTCTCTCTTCTTTCCTCCCGTAGGTGACAGAGCTGAATGAGCCCCTGTCGAACGAAGAGAGAAACCTGCTCTCCGTGGCCTACAAGAACGTGGTAGGGGCGCGCCGCTCCTCCTGGCGGGTCATCAGCAGCATTGAGCAGAAGACGTCCGCCGATGGCAATGAGAAGAAAATAGAGATGGTGCGCGCCTACCGCGAGAAGATCGAGAAGGAGCTGGAGGCCGTGTGTCAGGACGTGCTGGGCCTGCTGGATAACTACCTGATCAAGAACTGCAGCGAGACCCAGTACGAGAGCAAAGTGTTCTACCTGAAGATGAAAGGGGACTATTACCGCTACCTGGCCGAAGTGGCCACCGGAGAGAAGAGGGCGACCGTCGTGGAGTCCTCCGAGAAGGCCTACAGCGAGGCGCACGAGATCAGCAAGGAGCACATGCAGCCCACCCACCCCATCCGCCTGGGCCTGGCGCTGAACTACTCCGTTTTCTACTACGAGATCCAGAACGCCCCCGAGCAAGCCTGCCACCTAGCCAAGACGGCCTTCGACGACGCCATCGCCGAGCTCGACACCCTGAACGAGGACTCCTACAAGGACTCCACGCTGATCATGCAGCTCCTGCGCGACAACCTGACGCTCTGGACAAGCGACCAGCAGGACGACGACGGCGGCGAGGGCAACAATTAAGGGCCCCGCGGACTGGCGGCGCACGTTGATGCTACTACTGCAGTCTTTCTTTTCTTTCCCATGAGTGGGGGGCCGGGCGGGGGAGGGGGAGGGAGGGCTGACCTTCCCGGGGGGACCCACGACCTGTCCTGTCTTTGATCGCCTCTTTGACATTTTTGCCAAAATGCCACTAGTGGAGAGTCAGGCTGGCTGTGCCGGTGTCGGATTGGCAGCCGCCCACTGGCACACGGACTGTTCTGTAGACGAATGCGAGTCGAGCTGTCTGTTCTTTAATTTAACTTATTGCTAGCGAGTAGGGTTTTAAGGTGGAAAGCGAATCGGAAGCGGAATGACCCTCGTTCAGTAAGTTCTGTGGTTCCAGTAAGGATTGTTCTGTGCATATGCTCTTGTCTTAAGTTGTGGGTATTTTTTCTATCTCATCTGTTTGAGCTGTGCATTTCTCCTCCCCCCCACCCCCAGCCTCCCCCCAGGGTGTCCTCGCACCAGACATGGAGTAGGTTAAGATTCCCAGTCTGTTAGACTTGACCCCCAAGGCCTAGTGCTCCTTAGGGTCGGGGCCTCGCCAGTTCCTTCACATCTCTGATTAGGTGACAGTATTAACACTAAATTGCAGTTTACAGTATTTCTACATGACAGCCATATGTAACATCAAGCCATCGGCAGTGTCTTGCTTTCTCTCTGCTAGTTGTTTTGACTTGCCCATCCTGTGCTCCTCTCCTTGGCCAGAAAGGCGTGCCTGGGTCACGTCCCAGCGCCTCGGTGTGGCTCCCACGGTGCTTGGCAGGTGGCTGTGGGCGTTTGTCCTTTCATCCATCACCAGAACTGCTCATCACTTGGCTAGAAACGTTAAGCAACACGAACATGGAGAAAATTCAGGTCTGTCTGTCTGTCCTTCTTCGTGTTGATGCTTCTCAGAGCGCGCCCTGATTCAGAGGCCGGCGGGATTCGGGTGCGAGACTCCCGCGGGGGAAAGGCCGAGACCGGGTCTGGCTGGGGCCTCGGGTGTGCGGCCGCAGGAAGGCAGCCTGAAACCCTTCTCGGATAGGCGAGACTCGAGTCTGGTTTTACCCAAACTCTCCAGGTCCTCCTTCCCTTTGGACAGAAGCTCCGAGGCTGGCGGTTGGCCTCTGTCCTGTGTGCCCAGCACACGTTCTGGCAGCGAGGAAAGGGCATTGCTGCTGATGCCGTCCACCCGTTTCCAGTGTGCCCACAGCCTCTTCCAGCCTCTGGCTTCTGAGGGGGTTGGAGGTGGGGCCTGTTTCTTGCTTGGGGTCAGCATTTTCTTGGAGATTTAGAGCGCGAGCTGCCGACCCCGGGAAGGTAGTCTCTGTCGCTTTTAGGCACGGGGGAAGGAACGAGAGGGAGCAACTGACCGTTACTCCGGCTGAAACTGCGTGGCGCTTCTCGGGAGGGCGCGAACAGGTCTGGCAGGGTCCCATGTGGGGCGGGGGGTGAGGGTGCACCAGGGGTTGGGTGCTGTCTATCAGGACAGTGCGGGCCGAAGGTCAGGGAACCGCCCTACAGGTCTGTGCGGTTCAGGGGTCCCGGAGCCAGGGTGATTGAGCGTGGGGGTGGGGGCGTGGGCATGGCAGAGCTTCCCTTCCTTTATCTTCATGTCCGATGAGCGCGGCATCCGTCCATTCTTGTGGCATTTGGAAATGATTTACTGGAATTACAAAACCTATTTTTTTCCCTTCCCTTCAAATTTCAGCTTTGGCTCTGGCTGCTTTTTAGAACAAACGTGAGGTATAGTCATAACCCGAGGGCTACAATCGATGCGGGAAGGGGGAGACATGACGTCTGAGCAGCTTGAATGGTTTCGTTTCTTTTCTTTAATTTTAAAGAAATGCACTTGCCTCTGATAGTCTCCAGTGAAGCGATTACTTCTCCATTACTCTATGATACAATATTGTGCATGCTCGTGTTGTATTTCTATACAGTAGCTTGAAATTTATTAACTTATACTGTAGGTGTTATGTATTCCGATGACAAAAAAAAATTTAAGTCTTCAAATTTTTTAAAAGTTTTTTTAATTTAATTTTTCCTTTTGGGGGTAAAGTTTGCTCTACCAAATAGTGATTGTAACAAATTGATCTGTTTTGGATGTTGCTATAGTGACATGCAGTTATATATTTTGTTTTTAAAGGGGTGGGGGGGAGCAAAAGAAACACCAGTGTTAGCTTAATCTTAATGTCTGGTGTTTGTCATGGTGAATTATAACTATCGCAGTGTAGGAGAACAATGGCCATGTTCTCTGAATGAGCCTTTGTGCTTTTTTGTCCTGTTATGCAGTGAACTCTTTTTAAGGTCTAATCAGTGATTATTTTTTCAACTCCGTGTTTCTCTAAGGAATTATTTCACACACGGACCATTCTTAGCAGTTTTCCTCAGTGATGGAATATCATGAATGTGAGTCATTATGTAGCTGTCGTACATTGAGCAAATAAACTTACAGATCTGATGTCAGTGCTCTTTATTTCTAGGGAACCGCTTTGAGCCACCCCAACCCTCGCTTCTGAAGGTTGGGCTGGACAATGGGGTTCTTGTCCCCCCCCCCCCATTCAGGGACAGAGGTCAGACTCAAGGGAGCAGGTCACGTAGAACAGAAGCATCCAGGGGCTGGAGCGATAGCACAGCAGGTAGGGCAGTTTGCCTTGCCCGCAGCCAACCCGGGTTCAATTCCCAGCATCCCATATGGTCCCCTGAGCACCGCCAGGAGTGATTTTCTAGTGCAGAGCCAGGTGTAACCCCTGTGCATCTCTGGGTGAGACCCAAAAAGCCAAAAAAAAAAAAAAAGCAGAAGTGTCCTTATCTGAAACGCAAACCCTGGGTGACGGGTGCAGAATCATGCCCTGTGGGGCTGCCATAGATTTTCCCCCCACAGGAAGGAGCATGTTGAAATTTGAGCTGAGGCAGGCTGAGTCGCTCATGGAAAGTGTCTATGGAGGAGTGTCTCCATGTCCGGGGTCTCCCGCGTCTGCCCACTGTTTCACCCTTTGCCCAGGTCTCCCAGGGAGACCACGCCAGTGTTTCAGCCCTGAGGTGGTCTGCAGCCAGGCTCAAGCCACCTGCTATTGCTGGTGACACCTGTGTCCAGATGCACCCCATGAATCACATTCTTGGGAGTCTGAGTTGTGCCCTGAGCAGCTGTGGAAGAGGGTTTGGCTATAGGAGGAAGTTTCGTCTGGGTGAGGAGTTTCCTATGCCCTAGGTAGGGGGTGCTTCATTGAGCCACGTGCTGAACTGGTTTGCCTCCGTCCCCTCACTTCCCTCACACCCACCCCGCAGCACCCCTACAGGTGGGTGTGGAAATAGAAGGGACCCATGTGCCCACCAGCTCACAATGCAGGACGCCTGGTACAGCTCCGAGCCACTGCCCACAGGGGACAGGAAAGAGACAGTTTGGAGTGGTGGGAGGTTTCTGAGGGCAGACACCCTATGGAGGCCAATCCCACTCAGGGACAAACAGGAGCAGGACCAGGAGAACTGGGCTGGTGGGTCCCAGGGGCCCCCAGCAACTCATGGACACGGCCACGCTCAGACCCCGTCCGCCTGGGAGCATCCAGAGGGTTTCACACACATCTTAGGTTTCTCTGGAGATTAAGCCGTGTCTGCTGGGGCTGGAGAGTGTACAGGGGTCAAGGTTCTTACCCATGACTGACCCAGGTTTGATTCCCAGCACTGCACGTGGTCTTCTGAGCACTGCCGGCTGGTGGTGGCCCAAGCACCCCACCACCACCACTAAATCATTTCTATCCCGTTATAAGAATTCATTGATGCAGCTGTTCCAGACTTTTTCATGGACCGTCTTTTTTTTCTTTTTGGGTCACACCCAGCAATGCACAGGGGTTACTCCTGGCTCTTCACTCAGAAATTACTTCTGGCAGTGCTCAGGGGACTGTATGGGATGCTGGGAATCGAACCTGGGTTGGCCACGTTCAAGGCAAACACCCTACCTGCTGTGCCATCACTCCCGCCCCTCACGGACTGTCTTAAAACTTTTGTTTCTATGGATTGTATCCAAAACTAGACATTCAGAATACTCCAGGAAAGGACTGATCCTTACTCCTCGTTAAGGCAGTGATACTGAGTTGGTGAAAAGAGCGTTTTACAATGCTGGGCACTTCTCAGGACTCAGGGCTTTTAGCTGGCACATCTTGGGAAAAGGGGACTCCCTAAAGTGAGGGTGTAATTTAAGACCCCAAGGATGCCTAAGATCAGGTGGGAGGGGGCCTCATCGTTGCTGCACACCAGCTTTCAAACCACCACAGGGACCGCTGATGTCCAGGCAGTTTGTGGGGACACAGGAATGAGAAATGGAGCCACACGGCGAGTCCCTCTTGCAACAACTTCGCGGGCAAGTGGGGAAGCCAGTGGCTGTGACCTGAGGCCTTTCCAAGGAGCCGGTCCCCACTCCTACGCAGAGGGCGGCTTCCTCCACGCTATTTATGTGCCATGACCACATGTGTTGGCCTCTGTGCCTGTCAGCTGAGACCGCATGTGGACTCCCTGACCCATCCAAGTCCCGGAGATTGGCAGCTCCCTCCTGGGGCACAGTTTCAGGCAAGCCTGAGAGACAGCCTCCCAGAGATGCTGTAGTAACACTTCTCCGTCGGTGTGGGCACGACGCTCACCCGCCTGGCAGCTCAAGAGAATGTGATATGCCAGTTTGCCAGTTTGCCCTCTGGTTTGAATTTTCCGTTTGTGGTCTGAATTGATGTGGCCGCCAGCCCTACCTGATGAACTGATTACCTTTGTTACCGCACGGGGTGGAGGGTAGGGGCGGAAATGGCTGGGTCACTGTGACCAGGCCACGCTCATTAGACTTAATCCATACTTGGCCAAACCTCAATCAGGATTTTCCAGCCTCAGAAACACACAGAAATGACAACTGAAGAACAATGCAAAAGGCTAGGAAAGATTATAGAGGTGATTGGGGCCATGATGGATGGAGCCAGAGATGGTTCAGTGATTAAGGCCTTGCGTGTGGCCAACCTGGGTTTGATTCCCAACATCGAAGAGTCCCCTGAGTACCCTCTGATGTGGGTCAGATTTGTATAAAACGGGAGGGGCTGGAGCGATAGAGTGGGTAGGGCATTTGCTTTGCACACAGCCGACCTGGCTTCGATTCCCAGCATCCCATAGGGTCCCCCCGAACACCGCCTCAGTAACCCCTGAGCATCACTGGGTGTGACCCCCAAAAAAGGGGAGGGTGTTTTGTTTGCCTTGCACGAGGCTGACCTGGTTTGATCCCCTGCACCCCATATGGCCCCCAAGCACCAACAGGAATAATTTCTTAGTGCAGAGCCAGGAATAACCCCTGAGCATCACCAGGTATGATGAAAAAAAAAAATCCAAAAGAACAATAGGGGCCAGGGAGATAGTACAAGGGTAAAGTGCTTGCCTTGCACATGGCTGAGCCAGGTTCAATCTCCAGCACCCCAAATGTTCCCCTAAGCACTAGCAGGAGTGATCCCTGAGCTCAAGCCAGGAGTAAGCCTGAGCATCACTGGGTGAGGCCCCCAAAACAAAAACCAAACAACCAAAATAGAAAAAGGGCCATGAACCAGGAGGTAGCCCACACAGCTTCAAGTAGGGCCAGGCTGACAGCTCTGAGAGCTGGACGCGTGTTTTAATACAGGAGGCCCCAGGTGCCGTTCCCCACATGCGTGGTTCCCCTAGCGCCACCCAGAGTGTCCCCTGAATACTACAGGAGTGTCACACCCTGAAAATAGACCTGGGGCACAAGTTTGGTGAGGCCTCAGGTTACCATGGACCCTCCCAACTCTGTCCCCTTCCTAGAAGTAACTTCTGTTCTCTGGCAGAGAGAAGGGCTGTTTTTGGTTGCTTTTGAACACTTACTCCTGGCTGATTAACAGTTTTGCATCATAGTGCTTTTAAATTCAGAGTTGAAAGATGATCCCAGTAAGAACCTCTCGACTTAAACAGAAAACTCTGGTTAGAGGGTTGGTACTCTTGTTTTTAACAGGTTTGGGGGCCTTTTACCTCCCCCTCTTTGGAAAAGTAACAGCACACCACCTGTTCGCTTCATTCCGTTTCTCTTCATTGTGGAACCTTGAGTATCATCACACATTTTGCTCTCCACCTTCACATTCCTCCTAAAAATCATGACAACTTGCTACATCATCCCCCCTCCATTGTGATTCTCTCCCAATAAATAACTCCCCAAAACTCGCCCATATTTGAGTGTCCCCCACTGGATGTCTCTAACCGCTGTACTGCCGCCACAGTGAATCAAATTCAAACTCATTGGACTTAGTTATTAGGTTTTATTAGCCTAACAATGAAATGTTTTTTTCTGGTTTGGGGGCCACACCTGGCAATGCTCAGGGGTTACTCCTGGCTCTGTGCTCGGGAATTATTCCTGGCAGTGCTCGGGGGACTCGGGATTGAACCCGGATTAGCCATGTGCAAGGCTAGTGTACTCGCCGCTGGACTATCACCCTGGCCCCCCACACCACTGGCCTTATCAGGAAGCCAGGCCACTCAGGAGTCTCCGCCTATCCCCGTTCTGGGCTGTGTGCTTCCGCCTGTGTCATTCCCTTGTTCGAGGCCCTTCCATTGCTCTGTCCACACATGCACTGCTCTCCTGGCTCATGTGCAGTCACATGTGAGCTGGAGGGAAGCTGACCAGAGCTCTCCCCAAGGGTGGACAGAAGCCACAGACCAGCAGGGACCAGGTCGGGACACAATTGCATGGATAGACCTGATTCTCCTGGAGATAATCCCGCAGCCTGGCTGGATCTCAGCGATCATCAGCGTGGCCCAGTGAGTATGCAGGTCAGGCTATCCTGCCCAATGCTGGGGCATGGATCACCAGGCCTTCCCTCTCTCCATATCCCTCAGGAACACTCTGGTCTGTTGGTGAGGCTGCCATGCCCAGGGCATCTCACTTAGGAGAATGAATGGAGACTTGTTTGAGTACAAGCCAGGTGGCCGGTTCTTCCCACCCCTATGGCCAACTTTGGCCCTACTCATTAGCCCTCACACAGGGACCAAGTGCCTTCACACCCTCTGTCTCTTAACCTGGAGCCAGATTTGAGGGATTGTGGGGGGGGTTTGTTTGCTTGGGGCCACATCCGGCGATGCTCAGGGGTTACTCGTGGCTCTGTACTCAGGAATTACACCTGGCAGTGCTTGGGGGACCATATGGGATATCAGAGATGGAACTCCAGTGGGCCCTGTGCAAGGCAAACGCTCCACCCATTCTACTATCTCTCTGGCCCCCAGGTAGATAAATTTAGAAAGCATTACAGGATAAGCAGCCCCCGGCTGACTGTAAATATTCCTGGTGGGTCCTTTTCCACGTTCTTTCCCTATGATGTCCAAATACAGTACAACTACTGAGGCAAAAGGGGCAGGAGTAATTAGGGCCAAATTAAACCCCAATGGGAAAAAAGCAAAAAAACAGCCTCTCTCACACCTCAGCATCCAGGACAA